CCCATTCGCACCTCCTCGGCCTCTCCCCGGAGCTGGGGGTCGGATCTGCCTCCCCCCTCAGCAGGGGAGGCCTAACCTCTCCCGTTCTGCCGTATTTTGGGGGGTTTATCCCCCTCTGTGGCTTGACAGGCGGCCCTGGGGGTGTCTCTGCAGATCCCCCTTGGCGATGCCCCCCCAATCTGGGTGCCCCGCACCCCCCCTTGCCTGCCCTGGGGAAGGGGTGAGCAGTTCCAGCAGCCACAGCCCAAAGAAAGGCTTTTGTGGGGTTTATTATTATTATTTATTCCCCCATTTTACCCCGCGGTTCACGAAGCTTCTGGTGCCGGCTTAGGGATTTAATTTTTTTGGGGAGGACGGGGGGGGTCCCTCAGGGTCTGGCTCAGCAGACCCAGGGGTGGGTGAAGGGCATCAGGGCCCGAGCCCGTCTCCCAAGAGGTTTATGTAACCTTCCAGGTTTGGTCAGGCTTTATTACTTTTTATTTTTCCCCTTCTTCCTTCATAGATCTGTTTATATTTTTCCTCCTTGTTTTTATTCCTGGCCCTTTACGGGGCGGTGAATCCCTTTTTTCTCTCTGTCTGGAGAGTGGGTGGCGTTGAAAAATACCATTGGGAATTCGGTTCTGGGATTGTTTTATTAATAGTTTTTGTTTACAAGGTGGCGGTGTGAGCCGGGAAAGGGTAGGAATGACAAGAGTGGATGAAATGTTTCTCGGATCTATCGCCTGAACGTGCCCGACCTCCCTCAGCAGAACTCGGGGCTGGTGGCTCTGCCGTGCTGGTGTCGAGGGGTCGAGAAACGGGTCTGATTTAGTTCCCAGAGAGAGATAAACAAACTTATCTGGATTTGGTGGTGTTTTTTTGGAAGGGGTGGGGGGAGGGAGGAGCAGCAGCAGCGCTCCTGTTTGTGGCTTATCGAAGGAAACTTGTGTCTGACGTTTCGCGCAGCGCCTTTCTCCCCACAAAAGCTGCTCTCGGTGTATTTTTCGCCCTGTTTTTAAGCAAATAGGAAATGAGTCCTGATGGTGCTCGAATCGGAGCTATTTTTATCCGGGGGTTTAAAGTTACACACATGTCAGACTCCGCCAATTGCGATCGATGCTTAATCGCACCGGGAGGAGGGTCGGGAATTCCAGCTGTTTAGTGAGGGAGGGGGAAAACCTTTCTTAGGGATACCCTGGAAAGAGCTGTGGGCCAGAGAGGGGCCGAGGCCCAACCTGATCGGCTGCTGCTCTGTTTCCTTTTCCCCTCCCCCTCTCTTTTCCTTTTTTTCTTTTTTTTTTTTCTCCCCTTTTTTTGTTCGGTTCCTTGCCGGCTTCTCCAGCGATCGCAGCATTTTTTTGGAGGACAAAGAGCAGGTTTTCCCTGCGAAGTGGCTTTGCTGTGTGTTTCTAGGAGCTGGGTAGGTAGAAAGCCCCGAATATCTGGGATTCCTCTCGGTGCTGGGGAGTTTTTGCTCCGCTCTTTCTGCCCCCCTGACAAAAGGAACCCCGGCGGTTTTTCCAAAGGAGAAACCCTTGTTGTCGGCTCCGCTTTCCTTGTTTTCCAAAGGGTGAGGGTTAGAGCAGTCGGTGTCCTGCGGACAACAAACTTAGGAAGTTGGATGTGTCAGATGACTCCTCAGCACTCCTCCCTCCCTCCCTCCCTCCTTCCCCAGCCTTTTTTTGTTTGTCTGCCTGACTCGCCCGGGGTGAGCAGCTCGCTAGGCCCCGGCTCCCGAGACGCTTCCCTGGGGGGAATCTCCCCCTCTGGAAGCTGATCTGAAATCAGGGTCTCCTTTGAGACACGGCAACCAGGAGGGTCTCGGTGGTGGCCAGAGGAGAAGGGACTCGTCTGAAGGAATGTGCTTGAAGGCAGCTCCTCCTGGGGGTTTTCAGGGTTTTGTTGCTGTGTAGGGTTTTTGTTTGGGGGGATTTTTTCCCCCCTTTTTTGCCGCCCGTTTTCATTGCAGTTTCCCTTTTCATCCCCTTTCCACGTCTCCAGTGGAGAATAATAGTATGGATTTATGGCCTGCCAAGGGTTACCTTTCCCAGTAGGGAGGGGGCACCGAGCAGGGTGAATAACACTCCTTCCTTCTCCTGCTCTGACAGGTTTAGGAGCCGAGCGAGGTCTTTTTATGGATCCCTATTTTCAATCCTAACACGTCCGTGTCCTTTTGTGGATGCCTCTTTGTGAGGAGGGAAGGGGAGAGGTGCCTGCTCTCCGTGGGGCTGCAGGAGAAGGGCAGAGCTCTGCGGGAATGCGTGGAACTGATGTTTAATAATCTCCTGGACGAGGATGTGCTCCAGCTCCCCGTCACTCATTGTCTCCCTCCGGACCGGGTTTGTGGTGCTGAGGCTGGGGAAAGAGAGCCATAATCCCTCCTCCCCTTTTTGGGGGGCTCCAGCCAAAGTTTCCTGGGTAACCTGTGACCCTTCAGAGCAGGCTTTTTGCAGGAAAGCTCCCCAAAAACACCTCCAGACCCACTCGCGAAACGCAGCATTATCCCACTGGGAGCCCCCAAGCTCCAGGCCAGGCCTCTCCAGGTATCACCCACCCCGGGGAGGGCAGAATGGGGGCTCCCTTTTATAGTTCCCCCCAGTTTTGGGGCGAGTGCCAAGCTTGGAGCTGTGTTTGCAGGGAAAAGGCCTCCAGCTCTCGCAACTCCGCGGATTGGCTGCTCTGTTACTACCCGGAAACCGGGCCCGGGGCGGAGCGAGGCTGCAGCTGATGGGGTGCCCCTGGCAGGGTGTTTATACCCATGGGGGACCCACCCCAGCACCCCCATCCCTCCCCCAAACCACGGGGCCGTTTCCCGTTCCAACCCCGGGGTTTATTGTTCCGTGGCCGCTGCGCTCGCAGCTTCCCCTTGGCCGCGAGTTTATTTAGTGCTGATTTATTTTCCTCCTTTTGTGGAGAAATGCTGCTGGCTGGGTTGTAGTCCCCGAGCTCTATTTTTAAGCGTCAGAGCTGGAAAAGGGAAGTGTCACCCTGTTTTGTGCCTGAAAGGAATTATAAATAGTGGCCAGCTTTGTTTAAATCTCCCCCAGTGCTGCCCAGTTTGCAGAGCCGGGGGTTTGGGAGGCGAGTCAGGAGCGTAATTCACAGAGCATTGCACTCCCTGCTAATTTTAGGCTCGTCCTGAGTCAAGGAGAATAAAAGTACAAAGCTCCTTAGTTTTACCTGCAGAGCATTTTGTAATCTCAAAACTTCCCCCCCCCCCCCTCACTCTCCCCGCCGGTGTTTGCTCCGTCGAGGCAAAGGGTAGGACAGAGTTTACATTTGGGATAAATTCCTTTTTCTGGTCATTATAGGCTTACCCCCTGCACTTATCATCCCACTTGAACACCTTCCAAGAGTGGCGTTGAGCAATTGCAGGGTCACGTGGCTTTGTTCTCTTTGGCCTGTCCCCAGGGGAAGAGCGTGTGCACTGGAATGTCTTGTTTTGGTAGGGTTTGGTGGGGCTTTGTTGTTTTCTTGGGGTTTTGTTTGGTTTTGTGTGTTTTTTTAATTTTTTTTTAAAATTTTTTTGGTGTCGTGTTTTGTTTTAAAGGATGGATATTTCTGGAAACTTTGAATGTAAATTTTTAAATGTCACGCTACGCTTCTTTCTGCTCCACTTCTGGGGCTACGTTTTAATGAGGTCTCCAGGGACGAGGGGAAATTGTGTGGTGAGGCTTCAAAATGCACAAAGACGTGGCAGCAGCCCCTTCCCAGAGCTGGGAGAGCCCTCCCTTTTCCCAGAAATGCTGTCACAGGTGGTGGTTTATAAATCAAATCAGGTAAACGTGGCTTGGGAGGTTGTGCCCGTCTTTAGGAGAACTCAAAATCCATAAATCTCTGCCCAAACCAACTGGAGGAAAATAAATAATCTTTGTTGCCTAAATGACAACTTCCAAGGGTATCATCCTGCTGTTTTTAGAGCAGAATTTGGTGTCTTTTCTGGTGGCTGGATGGTTTTTTTCCCCAAAAATTGGGCTGGAGCTGGAATTTACTCTGCCTTTGTTGCCTTTTCAGTTGGATTGGGGAGGATTTGGGAGCTCCTCGAGCAGACCTGAAAGCCAAGTGCACCTGTTTAATCATGGAATTGGCACCAAACTGGGAAATGAGGATTTGGTTTGGGCTGCTTGGAGCAGAGTTGGAGCCTGACATCCCAACCCTGCTTCAAATGATAAAAATATGGGTGATTTTAATTATTTCCCCATCTCATTCCATAGACTCAGAGCAGAGATTTTTGGAATACTGAGGAGTCTGGCAGGATGATGCTTCCCAGTTTCCCAGTTCTGAAGTTGTTTAGAGCACTAAATGCTGATAAAGCAAATTCTAGAGGCCTTTTCTTTGTCCTAACAATTTTAAAAAAACCCCAAAACTTTGGGGATTTCAGACAAACAGACATTTCCCTGTAAAATTACATCCTTGCTCTCCAGTGGGTCCAGGAGGTTGTGCCAGCTGTTTTTCCAGGTTTTGTTAGGGAAGCTGTGCTCGGATTTGTAGTAGGGGATTGTTTTTAAGTGTCATCGTGGTTGTTTTACAGTCCTGGTGAGCTTTTGGAAACATCTCCCTGAGCAACTCCCACGTGCTCCACATTTCTCAGCAGCAGGAGCCGATAAGGGGAGCTTGGAACTCCAGTCCTCCAGATCCCAATATTTTGGATAAAGCAGGAGATGCCCCTCCATGAGGCCTTGCATTGTTTCATTTGCCAGGGGAAAATTCCATTTCATCTTCATAGGAGTGTTGTGTCCTGGTTCTGATCATTGTGTACCAGCATTAAACGATGGCTGGGGGCTTTTTTTTAATGTTTTGGGGTTTTTTTTTAATGTTTTGAGGGTTTTTTTTTTTATGTTTTGGGATTTTTTAAAATAAATTTCTCCTTCAAACTCACCCTTAATTCCTACCCTGTTCCTGGAGCAGACAAGAAGGGAATAAATCCTGGAAGGTGCCGAGTTCCTCTTTGGGAATCACTCCAGATCATTCCTTGGAGGCTCCAGGTTTGCTGCCTCCAGCACAAAGGGAGATCCCTGAGGATGGAAAATCAAATCCCAAAGGGAATCCCAAAGGATCCCTGCCCTGTGTCCTGGGGGAACCAAAAGCAAAGGAGTGTTTAAACTGAAAGTTTTGATGGATTTTGTTTGCCCTTCTTTGTTTCCATGGAATTTTTCTTCCTAAACTGCAAGCCCTGATAGACTTTTTTCCATCTTTGTTTCCTTGGGGGTTTTTTTCCCTGGATTGAAAGCCCTGATAGGCCTTTTTCCCCTCTTTGTTTTCTTCTTTTTTTTTTCCCCTAAATTTCAAATCTTGACAGACTTTTCCCCTCTTTGTTTCCCTGGGTTTTATTTCTAAACTGAAAGTCTTGATAGACTTTTTCCCTCTTTGTTTTCTTCATTTTTTCCCCTAAATTTCAAGTCTTGACAGACTTTTCCCCTATTTGTTTTTTTCCTTTTTTTCCCCCTAAATTTCAGGTCCTGACAGACTTTTCTCCTATTTGTTTTCTTCATTTTTTCCCCCTAAATTTCAAATCTTGTCAGACTTTTCCCCTCTTTGTTTTCTTCTTTTTTTCCCCCTAAATTTCAAGTCTTGACAGACTTTTTCCCTCTTTGTTTTCTTGCTTTTTTTCCTCCCTAAATTCCAGGTCCTGACAGACTTTTTTCCCTCTTTGTTTTCTTTTTTTTTCCCGCCTCTAAATTTCAACTCTTGACAGACTTCTCCCCTATTTGTTTTCTTCATTTTTCCCCCTAAATTTCAACTCTTGACACTTTTCCCCTCTTTGTTTTCTTCTATTTTTTTTCCCCTAAATTTCAAGTCTTGACAGACTTTTCCCCTCTTTGTTTTCTTCTTTTTTATTCCCCCTAAATTTCAACTCCTGACAGACTTTTTCCCTCTTTGTTTTCTTCTTTTTTTCCTCTAAATTTGAACTCCTGACAGACTTTTTCCCCCTCTTTGTTTTCTTCCTTTTTTTTCTCCCTAAATTTCAGGTCCTGACAGACTTTTCCCCTTTTTGTTTTCTTTTTTTTCCCCTAAATTCCAAGTCTTAACAAACTTTTCCCCTCTATTTCCCTGGATTTTATTCCCAAACCTCAACTCCTGACAGACTTTTCCCCCTCTTTATTTCCTCTGGTTTTATTTAAGGTTTTATTTATTAAGGTTTTTATTTAAAGGTTTATTTATTTATTTAAGGTTTTATTCCTAGATTGCAAACCTTGACAGACTTTCCCCCTCTTTATTTCCTTGGGATTTTTTTTCCCCCCCTTCCATCAAGGCAGAGCAGCAAGAATGGGGCTGTTGGGAAGGGAAAGGTGCCTCTGGAAGCACCCAGAGCTGGTCTCTGAACCTTCTCAAACCTTGATTTAATCAGAGCCATTCCCAGGATAAAAAACATAACAGGTTGTTGTTGAGGAAGGAGAGAGCCCACAGTTAAAGTGACAG